AACGCCGCTTTGTAGACGGCAAGGGCAAATAGCGTGGCAGGGGCAGTATTTCTGAGTTTTGAGAGTCAGGGATGGTGAGAGTACAGCGGACAAAAAATCGAAGGAAAAATTGACTAGAATGCGCTGGGGCCTAGGTTTGGGCGACATGAGGGCGGTCGAGGTCCAGACATTTTAGACCTTCAGCCAATTGTTGTCTCGACGGACGTCGAGACAGTCTTTGGGCCAGTGGCCCAGGGCCCGCACTCGCTCCTTCCTATACATGGCCAAGGCGTGCAAAATTGGGCATGGATGCTCTAGTGGTGACATGTACGTAATCATCGTGCGGCCATGGATGCTCTGGCCAATCACGCGCACTGGTAACACGGACGTAATTATGGTGCGGGCATGGATGCTCTGGCCAAGCGCACGCACTGGTAACACGGACGTAATTATGGTGCGGGCATGGATGCTCTGGCCAGTCCCACGCACTGGTAACACGGACGATATCACCACCCCCCCCCCCCACCCCCCCCCCCCCCCCCCCCCCCCCCCCCCATCACCCCCCCGTAAGATGGACACTTAAAGGCTATGCTGCACGTGCGTGCCTTGTAAACAAATACTTTACAAAGGAAACACCCGCAGAATAGACGCAATGCACCCTCAGATCAGCGGCGCGGACGCGGAGCGCGCGGAGGATGCGCGCGCGCGGACGCGGACGCGGCGCGGAGGGCGCGGAGGGCGCGGAGGGCGCGCGAGGGCGCGGAGGCGCGGAGGGCGCGAGGGCGCGAGGGCGCGGAGGGCGCGCGCGAGCGCGCGGAGCGCGGAGCGCGCGGAGGGCGCGCGGAGGGCGCGAGGGCGCGGAGGGCGCGGAGGGCGCGGAGGCGCGAGGGCGCGCGCGAGGGCGCGGAGGGCGCGGAGCGCGCGGAGCGCGCGGAGGGCGCGGAGGACGCGGAGGGCGCGGAGGGCGCGGAGGGCGGAGGGCGGCGGAGGGCGCGGAGGGCGTGCACGGAGGGCGTTAGTAGGTGACTACCCCATCGTCTTGTCCGCGTGTGACTCTCGTGCCCATCGACCGAATGCATGCTCCCCGTCCGCGCTCCCCCCCATCCTTGTTCCCGAACCCGTGCGTCAACCTGACATCCATGCATGGTCCGCCACGCCCCTCTCCCAGCAAAATGTTCCGACCCCCCTCCCTTGACCGTGTCGTCTCCGTGGCCTCCCGTCTTTTTTCATTCCGTCATCCCACCGTGCTGCGTTGACCGTCTCCTCTTCGTGGCCTCTTTCGCCAGAAAGCGATCCGATAGAACGCCTTCCGCGTTGAAGCGCCAAACGAGAACCCAATCCCAGAGAGGTTTGCGAAAACAAACAGCACGCGCAGAATAGACGTTAAGTGTCCAAGGCACACCCCCCCCCCCCCGACCTCCCCCCAAAAAAAGTAGTAGAGAGTGCTGGTGCGGGCATGGATCCTCTGGCCAATCGCACGCAGTGGTCACATGTACGTAATCATCGTGCGGCCATGGATGCTCTGGGCAAGCCCGGTGAGTGGCGAAAAACGCGACAGGCGTGTGGTTTCTGTGTGCAAAGCACCGAAAACACTGTAAATACCGATGCGGCCAGGGCGTCCTCCGCGCGCGTTTACGTAGCGGTGGAGCCCCAAACAAGGATGACAGTATGTGTCAGCGGGAGGATTGCACGTCAATTCGTTCCACGTGCACGAAATATAATGTTTTTACAAACGCTTTAAGCAAGTTATTAAGCAAAGGTAAGAGAACTGAAGGGAAGGAAGGAACGCAGGAGGGAGAAGGAAAGACTGAAGGAAGGAAGGAAGGAAGGAAGGAAGGAAGGAAGGACCGCAACATTACGATTGTTCCCCACATCACCATGTAGGGTTTTCGTTCTTTTGGGTTGACCTCCGCCAGCTCTCTCATCCGCCCGCCCGCCTGCATGCACGCGCCTGTGTTGGAAACGTGAACATAGAGGAAGAGAGACAAACGTTGTGTAGAGGAAGCACGTCATGAGGAATTAGGAGAGACTGAATCTATCTGTGTATTCATATACTGGTTACGTCTGGATGCTCAGCACACATGCGCTCTGCTCCATACCCTTGGCAACATGTGCCACAGTTGCTTCACGAACAATCGACTGCTCAACACGCACCACATTGGTCGATCTTGCGGTTGAAGAGTGTGTAAGAGTGTGCAACCGGCAGTGATGATGCACCATGCACAGCGTATGTTACAGGACTTCTAGACAGCTGAAGAAAGCAAGGGTCACCAGCAAGGATCTCCATCGAGAACCCGAACCCCAAAAAGACTCTCAAAGGGAATGCTCCGACGCCCATGACAACGACCATGTCGTGAACAACAGCAGGATCAAAAAAGGTTGGTTTTCCCATAGAGAACAAATACTTCGAAGAGAGTGCCGGCACATTCAAGAGGTGGATCAAACATCACCAGATTCCATCTGCGAAGGAATGCTGTTCCAGTTGATGCGATGCTCAAAAGGCAATGGCGATTGCACAAACAATCTTTTTGAAAAAGACCCAGGTTGACGTGACGACAACCAACCGCCGTTCCCGAACACGTACCTGAGAACCACATCTTGCGTAACGAGAATCGTGCAAACAGCCACGTCATACAGTCCCAACGTCTACAACCAGGCGGGGGTCAGCACGTGGGCAGATGTGAGTACCTTCAGACGAGTGCAGGCAACGGAGCATGAAATCAAAGTCACACCCTGCCTGTACGGGTACATCATGACAAAGAGGAGGAAGGCCTGGCAGAAAGGAAGGACTATCGTCGCCTCTGCAAACCCCTTACATCTGACCGCTCCTCGACGCAGGTGTGTTGGCCAGAACATTTTGGACGCAGTTGTTTTCCAGCACCATGACCGACTCGAAACACAAGGGTCCAGGTCCGGGGGTTGTAGGGAGGTTCAAGGTTGAGAGTGTTTGAGGGGTTTAGGGGGGGTGGGGGGGGGGGGGGGGGGGGGGGGGGGGGGGGGGGGGGGGGGGGGGGGGGGGGGGGGGGGAGGGGGGGGGAGGGGAGGGGGGAGGGCGAGGGGAGCATGGAAGGGGGGGGGGGGGGGGGGGGGGTGATGGGTGGAAGGGTTGGGTTAGGGGGGAGGAGGCCCGATCCGGGTCTGCTTGTTCCAGACGCTTCTCGGCAGGAAGCCGAGGCGAATGTTTATGTTTCTGTTTATGTTTGTGTTTCTGTTTATGTTTTTATTCATTTCTTTATTTAAGTTTTTGTGATTCCTGTTTGTCCTTAACCAGCAATCCAGCGCTCGCCATATAAGAAGAGCTTTGGGCTTGAGATAACAGACCCTCAGCGATCATTGTGTGTATTTACTGACATGCACCTCCCGTTGTGAAGTGCCCTTCAAACACGTCAATTCTTTCTTGCCCCTCAACAATTGCAAAAATTAATTCTCATGTGTGTGTGTGTGTGTGTGTGTGTGTGTGTGTGTCTGTCCGTGTGTGTCCATCCCATGAGTCGTTCTGTGTTTCAAAGTCAACCCTTGAGTGCCCCACTGTCAGGCACATGTTTCAGCAAGTGGCTCTTTGGTTCTTGGGCACAGCAGCGGCCACATGGTGGAGCTTGCAGATGGTGGAAGGGACACAAGCATGGTTCCCTTCCACTCTGCCGAGGTGATGCTTGCCATGATGTTGTATGGTTGCACATGCCTTCCACACGGTTCGTTGAAGCATAGGTAGTGCGCCTGCAGGGTTCTTGCGTCACGTGACGATGAAACCAGCGTTGTGGAAGTTGTTCGCCTTCTTGCAGTTGCTGTGACCTGAAAATCGGCATGTGATTGGTGTTGGCCCGGCTTTTCAGCATGTAGCAGAGCATCTTCTGTGAGCAGCATTGCTTGCTGACCTACCGATATAACAGAATGGTGCGCACCAGCCAGCGAGAGGTTCCCAAGCACACAGCACGGAATGGGAAGCATGTTGCACTCCTGAGACGTCTACTGGGCCTTTATATTGTACTGCTTCCGAGCAAATGCTGCAGTAGCTCTTCGATGCTGGGTGTGGTTGTGCAGAGATTCTGCCGACTAAGGAGCTTTCTCCAACAACTCCAGACAGGTATACTCAGTATTGGTGAGGATGGTCGCCTCGGCATTTGGGGGAGCCAGGAGGGCATGCTGCAGCCACTTTGGGGCTTCCGGGGCCTTTCCTCCAGCACTACTGCTGTCGCAGATGAGACCCAGCTCTTTTTCACTTGCACAGTGAACGCTGGCACTCCAGGCGCAAGAAGGGGAACAATAAAACAACAACAGGCAACGCGACGCACCCTGCAGTAGAGCCACGGTGAAGCATTTGAAGACTGCGTGCGCTTTCTTGTGTGTGACCTGTGTTTCAAAGCAGTGACATGTCAAGGTCTGATGTTGGGGCAAAATCGGCTTGAAGTCGTTGTTGGTAGGAGTGGCTGGTTGACTTGCTTGTTGCATCTTTCGCCGATATTGCTGATCTTCGGCGTTACGTGTCCAAATGCCTTCGAGAACTTAAGGGCTCGATCCAGCATGACCCTTTTCCAGGCAATCGTGTTCTACACAGCTCATGGAAGCGACCAGACTCAGAGTTCGATGAGGCACAGATGAAGCAAAGCATGTGCATTGGCGACTGTGGGATCTACTGGGAGTGTAACTGGGCTCAATGCACCGCTCTTTTCACGTATCAGATCCTACCAGATCCTGCCAGATTCTACCAGATACTGCCTTTGCCCCCTTCGCAGGTGGCTCCGGCCTGTGAGGCCATCATGCACGTCTCTCTGTCAGAGCCGGGAGGGTCGCCGTGACAGAAGACGTTGCTGTTTTACATGGCTGAGAAAAGATTGGACAAGTTGTAAAATAGGGCGATCCTATGAGACTTTCCCAACAAGGGAAGAGGGGTTGCGTGACACGTTGCTAAACAAGAAAAGTCAAGGCACTCTGGTTGGGCATGTCGAGGTGCTAGTAGTATAAGTGCATCTTTGGCTTGAGCACATGAGCCCTTTCAATAGCGGGCGGGCCGCTGTGTCCCAATGCGGTCATGGTCAGCTGCCCAGGAGTCTAGTTGAGGCTAGGTTTTGACTTGGCGCGAGCACTCCTTTCTGCGCTGTCATGTGCATAGCGGGAACCGGCCGATGCAAAAAGTATCTAGGTGGTGTGCACCAGCTTGTGCACCGGTGAGACGCCCAGGTCGGAGCGGCAACGCTTGCCACCCTTGACCGAAAGACCCGCTTCTCCAGAGGAGTCCTTGAGACTTTTGCGCTGTGTTGTTGGGCTTCTCAACGAAAGCAGCCATACGATGCCGTACGATCTGCAGGGCCGTAAATCGCAGCCGCAGAGCATGCTGTCAACGGGCGTTGTGGCTCGCAGACGTCCAGGCCTCAGAATTTGCGCTCGAGGCTCAGCCAATGATGGTGAAATATCGAGGACGTTGGCTCAAACGGGTCTTGCTTGGCTGTCTTTGGCTGTGTGGAATCCACTCCGATCGATGCTTGTTTTCTCATCCCCAGGTCAGGAGCCACTCCGCCTGGACCCTCTTCGGCATACACAAGGTACGTTGCCAACTCACTGCTGTCTTTTGCTGACCACCTGCCCAATAAATGTTTCCCAAAGGCGATTGCCTGGCCTCCCTTGGCAAGCTCGACAAGGAGCCATTCCGGCAATCCATCCAGGCTGGCTGAATTCAATCAGAAGCTTTTGGTTTGGCCTCAAGGTGTTTCAGATAAAACATATCTTTCTTGCTCACCCGAAATGGCAAGCGCTGATTGATGCGAACCTCCTCAATAAACGGAAAATATTTCAGAAAATGTTGTTTTAGATAAGCCAGGGCCTTGGAAGAGCTTGAAAGTTTCGAGGAAGACACCCGAAACCTTGAGCCTGCGGGGAACTTAAGGAAGCTCAGATCTCTCTTATGCAAATTCAGCTCTGGGCTCTGGGCTTGAGATTCCTTCCTGTTCGGTGGGGCTGCACAGCGAAACACTCGAGGGTGTTGCAGCCATGGGTGATGGATATTTGGCTTCAAGGAATGCAGCCAGCTTTTTGGTTGCTCTTTCCCTGATTGAGGTTTGCTAGCGCCTCTCCTGGTTGATCACAGCCCACCTGCCACTACTGTGGCACAACACAACTTTGCTCCTGTTCTCTTCGGTGACATTTGTGACCCCGCCGTGGTCAAAGACATTGCCATGTCCTGCGGTTCCCTGCCAGCCCTACTCGGGTAGAGGACACACCTTGTTCCGTGTTTTGCAAGTGGGGTGGAGCCTCCACCTTGCCGCCTGGGTGGTGAAATCAGCCCACTGCCGTGGACCTGTACAGTTTCCCTCAGTCCCGAACCCAACCCTCCTCCAGGCACCCGGCACTGGGAGTGGTTCTAGATAACAGACCCGGACCCCTGCTCCGGAGTCCTGCTCCGAGGCTAATCGGGTTGAAGACCCAAAGCTCAAGCTGTGGGGAAAAATCCAGCTGACCGCTCCTTCCCAACCAAACACGCTCCGGTCCCAGGTTCCGGACCCCTACACCCACGTCCCTTAACCTGCTCCGGACCCTTGCCCGGACACTGCGAAGGCACAAGTGCAACGTTACAGCCAAAACCTGCCTTTGTCGAGGAAGGCGTTGCGGGCGGAACAGGTTCCAAGCAGACCCCTTTTCCGTTCACATATATATATATAGATATACATGTCATGTGTTTCTGTAGAGATTCACCATCTTCCCGATTCACCATATGCCCAAAAAAACATCTCCCTCAACTCAGCATCGCTCCCTGCCACAAAATGACGCAAAACCAGCTTTTTCAAAGGCTTAAAAGTCTCATGGACACCCCCCCCCCCCCAATCAGTTTTGAACCCCTTCTTTTGGGAGTTCCACAGTCCTGCTTTTACCCAGCTTGCCCAAGTTAAAATTCAGGGGGGGGGGGGGGGGCATTCTCGGAGAAACATATCAGATATCTGGATTAAAACATGTCGATGAAACATATGCATCCGAACCAGGTGCTTGGAAGAGAGCGGCAGCGTGCCGGCCTCATCCCGTGTGTTGCATAGACGAGGCAGTCTCGTTAGGCCGTAGGCGTGCGTTGCAAAGCCACAAAATTTCAAAATGGTTCAAACCAGCATGCGCCAGGTTGGACATGTTTGCAGGATGTGCAATTGCAGGGCACCAGTCCAGATCCGACAATTGTATTTTCACTTGCTTAAGGCAGAGATGGCAAAGCATTAGCCGCAGAGCTAGCAGGCCTTTCAAGCTGGCAAACATTTGCGGCATGCATTCTGCATTCGTTTAGAGATGTTTTTGGTTTGCCCCTTTTTTTGGTCTGTGTTTGCTCGGACTACTGACGAAGGCCCGCCCCCGACCACCACCCAGGAGCAACTGACTGACACGTACCAGGGATCACACAGTTCTTGACATGATGACGTTGCAGCTTTTGCCAGGAGCCAGTGGAGACCCGCTGCAAAGCCCAGGCAGTCGCATCTCTGCAAAGGCGCGCAATCTCACCGACAATCTGCATGCAAAAAATGCACAAGCAGGACCTTCTTGTCATGCAGGCTTGGGCGCCTGATGGGGCCTGCGAAACAGTTAAGGGGTCCCCGATGCAGTCAACGTTTCGGGCGTGGTAAGAACATTTCGTGAGGCACGCCTCTAAAATCAACTTTCCGCGTCCGGGGAGGGGGCTGCAGGGGAATGGGTCCTGTTACAACCCGGGGATGGGGTTTTTCTGAAGAGACGATGGTCCCATATCTCAGTAGTAAGTGGGGGACGGCGAACCGAAAGACCGCAGTACCGAGCCAAGAACTTTTATCCCGGCAAGCAGCCATCACTCGCAGGATTTAGAGTCTAATCCAACAAGCTTTGCGGGGTTGTGCTGGCAAGTAGAGGATGCGTACCCAGTTTGGCTTCATGACGTTGTCATGATGCATAGTCCGTTCAGGAAATGTTTCCTCTCGCAGCCTTCGGGCCTCGGACCAGTGTGCGTCCCAAGTAGATTCGACGGGACAGGCAAGTTCAACACACACGACCCATTGTCAAATACTGTCAGCGAGCAATGGCCAATGAGCTGTTCAGACATGCAGGCTGCACACATTCTTTGGGCGAACCGATGCCAATCGATCGGCCTCTCATTGCAAATCGAACCGTTTGTCGGGGGGGTGAAGGGGCCGGGGAGGGGGGAGAGGGGCGGTCCGTTCTACACTGCCGGACGGCGCGACTGTTCATTGTAGAGAAGAAGCGGCAGAATATAAATGAATAAATAACGAATATGTTGAGTAATCTATACTTGACCGTCGACGAGATCTTACGGACACATATGCTTGAGGTTGTCCAACGCCATGTTTACATCGTGTTTTGCGGTTTGGGGTTGTCAAGATCCATACGTTGGCAGATTGGCACGGTGGGGATTCGCCTTCTCAATCCGCTTTCAGAAAATTTCAGAAGGGACGAGCACCATGGTAGCAACACTGCT